ACAATATTTTGTACCCAGTGTAATAAGCAATTCAGTAATTTCCGTTGATTTCAGAAGCAGTAAGACCGGACAATGGCATATATTTAAAAATAGTATACCAATGTCGGCATACAGTTCTTTGTTTCAGATAAAATTGAACATCAATAATGTATGTACATACTTATATTCTAAATTAACAACAGATTGAAATTAAATTACTCAGCATGGAAAACTCAACATAAACTGTAATTAAGGGATCCTATATATGTATATATCGACACATATATACATACATGCGAATGGATATTGGATTCTCATGGTTGTGTGGGGATACAAGACGTGAATACTCGCGCACATAATTACTCTGCACCAACAAAATATAAATAACAAATATAAAAATTGACATTGATTAATGAAAGTCAAAAATGTAAAAATAACTATGGCCACAAAAACAATACATCTTACAATGGACGTCTTTGGCTGGGTGAAGATCTCTTACGTAGTTCCCTCCCTTTGAGGGATTAAAATATGAAATTTCAATATACATAAACCTAACAGAACTGCTACAATTATATTTTTTGGTTTAATAAACGAAGTACTATGCAAAAAAAGCGTAATTATTTGCGTAACCGAAAATATTGTTTGTATTCAATAATCGGTTATTATTCAATATTATAAATAAAAGCGTTTCTTATAATGATTCATTTTGGCATTATTGGATTTCGAAATGTTTAAATCATACACGATGCATTTATTTTAAATGTTATTATTAGGAACTTGAAATTCAATAAACTAACACAATCCTCCAAAACCTGAAATGCAGCTTTTCTATCATATGTGGAAGGTCCACAGTTAAACTTAGTTTGATGATAAAAAAGTGAAAAGATTTTATATTTAATCACTTCATAGATGCCGTAAATTTATAAATATAGAATAATTTGTTTTATGGAAAATATTAAAACTATGAAAATGCACCCGATCAGAGCCTCCTGCAAACGACATTTTGTAAAACACATATTTACGTAATTTTGGCTAGGTCGAAATATTTGTATTGTGCTGAAGCCAACAACACATTTTCAATATTATGCTCAATGAAGCGCATCCATCTCATTATGGTATAGGTGCATCAGAAAATGCATTTCAAAAGTAAAATGTAACACAGACATCATTAGGCACCATAAATAGATTTTAAAACGTTGGTTATTGAATGCAGGAAATGTCATAAGATTACAGCTACAACTTTACAATCATTTGACATTATAGCCTCGTGTAAAAAACAATATTAAAACAATATTACAGCTATTTTGTATTATTGGGTATTGAAGAATCTCAGTGGGAAAATTTATTCAGTAAAGTTTTGTTCAAACAAAAAGCAATGGATATAAATGTCAACTCATGTATTTTTGAACAATTTTGAAATTTTGTACAAAATGCTGCCTTTATATGTTTTGTGCTCTTAATGTTTCAAGAAGAATAATCTCTCTTATTCTCACTGACTCTTACTGAGTAATCATTACTCGAAAAATGCGCAGACAGACCAAATATTGTCACTATTAATGCTATGTTCTGACGGGCATTCGAACAACGTAGTTCGCTCTCAGAATTACGTACATGAATTAACCCGTTCATACAACACTATTTTAAATTCATGTCATCAGAGTTTTTTATTTCAATTTTTTTGTTTCTAGTTTTACACCAAAATTGTAACATATATTTGCGTGAATCATATATGGATCTAAATAGAAAATATAATTATCTTTCTCCTGACTATAGTATGAACCCATATCTATTTACTTTTAATTCATGTTTTCCATTTTTTTCTGAAAGTATTGTTTTTTGAGTATATTTTCATTTATTCTCAATTGAAATGTCACATAAAAAAATTGGAGAATTTTTTGTTTGGGTTTCCCCAAATTGGTTTCTCGTTTTGTACGCTAATTAGAACCAAAGGGAAAGAAATACGTATTGCATTTTGTAGATTACAAAATTTACTTCCTTCTGCATATATAAAAAAAATAGAATTTTTTTTATTTTCATTCATCATTTTCAATTTTACTGAAAAAGTTTGAAAATTTCACAAATATTTTCATGCTGTCAAAATTAATTTATTTTCGATAAATTCTCTCAATTGTTAGGGTTGGGACAAATATCTTGGTTATTCGGAGAGTGATTCAAATTGAACAACGTACAAAAGTCGGTGTTCGCTCCGACAATTTTGTATGGGGAACTAAGTAATTACTTCATAATTAAGGGTCGAACAACGAATGAGAGAGCGAACGACGCCCGTCTGTACATGACATAAGTTCATCATTTAAAAACATGGCACAGTTTTACATATCTATAACAAAACCATAGTTGTAATTTACAGAGGCATCGATATAATTATCAATTTGTATACAAATTATTCTAATATGCCCAAATGTCAACGCTTTAAATATTGTTGAGCGTCTTCAAAAAGTGCAAAATACATTTAATGATATTTTCCGCACAACAACCTTTGACAGAAAATGTAAATACAGGGTAAGCCAGCTGAAGTCTTCATTGACTATCAAAATTTATTCTTTTGAAACAACAAATATTTTTACTATAATAACGTTTTTGAGAAAAATATTTTGAGTTTTATCTTTGTTGTATTAGTTCGGCTGTAGGCTTTTTAAAAGTAAAAATCGTTTTTAATTTTGATTTTTAATATTTATTGTTTCCAATATTTCGATTGGATTCTCAATCATCCTCAGGGAATTGAAGAAAGTTATGTTGTCTTTAAGTCAACGTTCTTACTTCAACTTTTTGTTTGAAGTTTTTATCCTGGTTGGTATTTCGCGACTAAAAAGTTGACAACAAAAGAAGACAAAGACATGAATTCGCCACCTGGTAAACCTTATTTATAGGGCATGATATAGGGTTGTGTATTTCTTGCAATTCGACTTAATGTCCGACATGTGCCCGCTTTATGTCAAAATTATTATGTTGGCATATTTTTGTTTAATAAATTTTGAATACCATAAAAAAAGGCGAAAATAAAATTGAAGGTTTTTCATCTCTAATATTGTTTTACAATACCATAAATATTATTTCTTTGTTTGCAATCGAATACTTTTAAACCTTTTATGATGATTTAGTATGATTTAGGTCTAGGTTTGTCCATTCCGGAAAATCATGGTACTGTCGATCAATAAGTTGTTAGTTCGATCACAAAGACAAAATAGTATATTAAAAATAATAGTCAATAATATGAAGAAGACAAACATGGAAACACATCTTTCAATATTCTCCCAATTTGAAAATAGTCAATGCTGTACGATGAGAATGAGTTGATGCCAAATGGCTTTAGGCCCCATTCGAACATCATTAAGTTTTTCATATGTAGAGCAGGGCGTAAGAGTGTATATGGTCCTATGTTCGTGTGAATAATTTTCATTATCTTCCGTCCACCATTAGACGCGTACTCGTACACACACACACCCATACCAAATGTGGATACATACATACAAACATGTGAGTAAATATTAAAAGATGAAATACGAATAATTAATTATTCGGTAACGCCTTCTAAAATACGTTGTTTGTGATCTACATACAAATGTATTTTAACGTTTCAATGTATCCACGTATATCGAAATACATACATAAACACAGGTATACTAAGTGTAGCAAATATGATGTTATTTTTATTTAAATTATTTTTTGGCCAAAAGATCGATGTTGTCATTGTTGACGACAGCGTTTGTTTCAATTCGGCAGTTCTAGAGAAAATATTTCTCTATGAAAAGAATGGAAAATAAATAAATTAAAAAATTTAACAAATTAAACAATATTTTTTAAATAAAACAACATTGTTTTTAACTAATTTTAAAAAACTCTCAAAAGTTTTCTATTTAGATTATAATTTTCATTACCCATAGTACCATATGCCATTTTACAGTTAAGCCAGTAAGCTTCTTATAAGGAAAGATATAAGTCAAAAAATAATATAGATTATTTACCAAGACCACTATGGAAAATATTCGAGTTCCAATTGTATTTTCTCTATAAGAAATAAATAGTTTGACGGAATACAGTCCATTGGATAACGTCTGTACATCTATTAGCTATACGCTGTTAAAAGTAAAGTAAACGTTTAACCGCAAAACACAGGCCAACGGCAATAGACTTAATAGAACAGTGGTTATCCTTCACAAATAGCACATATAAACTGGCCAATTCAATGCAATGTGGTATTCTTTGCAAAGGCTTACGAGACGAATTTACGTTAATTACCATCAACTTGATTACTTTCATCCTTAAAACGATGTAAACGAAGCTAGTTGAATGGTGGTGGATCGGTTTGTTGGATTTTTATATCCGTAGGCTGCTGTGGTTCACACTATTTATGGGTTGTATTTTTTTTAGTTAGATGTGGAAAGTTCCACTGTGAATTGCAACATAATTGAATTCGCCACAAATAATTTGCGTAGAGAATAAAAGGAATCGTCTTAGCGTGGTTGATGGGAAATTAGAAAAGCATATAATTGAGCCTGAGAGCAACCCAATTTGAAATAGAAATAACAGATGAACAGAATGAATTAAGTAGTTTGCCAACGTCTGAATATTCAAAACAACCACTTGCTGTTTGATATGTTTCAAATATGTCTTAATATAGCATATCAACAGGATGTTAAAAATAAAACGTATTATTTGCAGGAATTCACACCCCTTCTAGTATTTTTGGCAAAGTTACCATAGTGAAGGCAGCTTAACCAAAAACACCACGATTTAAAACATCGAATGTTGTAATTTCCGCTCTAAAAATAACTGATAACGGACAAATTGTATTTCTGTGATGCAACTCAACAAAAACAAGAAATTAAAAAATTTAGTCTTCATCTTCAATTTTAGAAAATGGTCGCCAAGGAATCATTGATTTTTTAAATACTTCCGGGTTTTTCGTGTATTTTATTGAAATATTGCTAATGATGCTGATGACAGAATTTCTTTAATTATGAACAAACGGCAAACAGACCGACCACATGGGTTTCACTTACCTGACGAACTTGTTTATACTGCTCTTCGAAACTCCAACCATTGTTTTGTTGCGACGAATTCGATGTTTCACTGGATGTTGAGGAATTTGAGGCAGGATTCGCTAAACGAAGGGACACAAGATAAAAAAATAAAAAACACACATTTTGTTAATTAGAAGGGTAGCTTCCAACGGGGTGCCTTAAACAAGTTAGATGAACTGATGAATAGAATTATTTCTTTAAAATCTGGGAATTTTAATGTTTCGTTTACTTACCGTCTTTTGGATTTGGTGCTGTAGGCGAGGTAAAGGAAAAGTTGGAATTGTTGTGGTTTCCATTCGAAAATGGCCCAGCTGCAGCAGACGTTGGAGCTGTCGGTGTACTTGCACTCAAATGGGAGCCTAGGTTATTGTTGGCCTGTGCTGCCAATGTCTGGGCGGCATGTGTAAAGGATGCCATTGTTGTGGGTGGCAGTGAAAACGCTGTATTTATTGGCGACGATAAAACATTTGCCCCAAAAGCTGCCGCGTGTGCAGCCGCGTATTCCTGATCCTAATGTGTGAAGAAGTCGTTATTTTATAGGTTTTCATTACATAAACAAAAATACAATCAGGTCCTACCATTAAGCCCACTTTCATGTCACGGACTTGCATTTTAAGCTTCTCCAATACGTCATTGTGCTGTAGACTGGGTATTCCATGCAAACCACCCATACCCATAATATTGTTGAGAGCATTTAGAGGATGATTTGCTGGGAACTGGTGATGGTGATGGCTATAGACGTGAAGAAATTTAAAGCGTTTACATAAACCGAAACCAACAAAAATGAGATTACAACAAGAAAAAGACAAACCTCATTTGCATATCGCTGGCGTGTTCATGCCCACTGATGTCACCACCACCATTGCTAGTCATGGACGCATTTAGGCGAGAACTAACTCTAGCCATGTGGTCTCCTTCGTCGGAATCGCAATCGCGTAGTTCATCATCCGAGTGGAGTTCGTGTGACTGCAAGAGAGAAGCAAACAAAGAAACAAATTGTAATTTCATTGGAGAAGTGCAAACCATAAGACATTTTAATTTTCCGCATGTACAGAGACAAGCAGTGCGCTTTGACCAATATTTGCTTAGAATCAACAAGCCAAGAGAAATTATTACAAATAAATAAAATAATTTTGTGGGAAAAATAAAAATGTCAATCTCTTCGTAGATTAAACCAAATTAAAACCAAAACATTGATTGTGAATAATAGAATTTAAAATTAAATCCGACCCTAACGTGTTAACCACAATATCTAGTTTAATGTCCGTTGCCCTTAGTTTAGATAATGAGAACAGTTTTGCAACATCATTTCCTGGCCGTTGAACTTTGTTGTTAATTCGTAAAGCCCCAATATCGCCGTTCATTCATGCGGATAGTTCGGCGAGCAAAGCAGAAAAGCTAGCAGTCGGCTATTCATTCATTCATTCATTCATTAAATCGATCGAACCAATGATCGATTGGTCGCTTACAAATGTCGATGTTATTGTCTTTCCCCTTGCCTCAGTGGATTAGCCTTTGCCGCGAAATGTTTGTTGGCCCACTGTTCCATTCATCCCTCTATCCATTTGGACTAAAATATGAATGAAAATATGATAAATGATTTCGTCGAACCACATTTGGTGGATTTTGCTATATTTTTTTCTCAAAGCCAATTCACGATTGTGAATGTTTAAGACGATACACAAACACACTCACACATCCACATACACTCTGAAACAATCGACTCTGATGATATTTATCATCTGCAGGGCATGAGAATGCTTTTGATTTAATTGAAGACAACACCATTAAAAAACATGCTATGACCCGTGGTCATTTTTAATCACACAAATATACATATCTACAAATAAATTTACCTATGCTCATATTAGTTAGGAATGTTTTAAATGATCTGAACACAAATATACACACACAATTATGATCAGTCCATGAGCGTTTGCGTCTTATAAATCTGCTCAACTATTTAATTATGATGAACGTGTTTTTATTGTGCTATATTAATGGTTTGTCGATGATTGTATCAGATTTTTCCTAATAAGAATCGATTCCATCTACGGTCGATAACGGGCCCAGGCAAGCAGACATCATTAGCGATAGCAGTTTATCGTGTTTATCTAACAACAAAAATAATTTGTCAAATATTTAATTGAACTCTTTTTTCGTGTTTACAAGTTAACTGACAAAAGCTCTACTGAACTCTTCGTGAATTTATGCTAATGGGGTTTTCGTTATTGGTCTTTTTTATTTTTTGTGCTATTGGCCACGTTAATGGAGTCAATGAACAATATAACAAGTTCATTATTATTGCTGATAAAGAGAATAGTGAATGATATTGATTTTGAACATTTGCAGTAAAAATGTGATTTTCGTGTAATTCAAGGAAGCCTATGTATTAGTACAATAAATATTGCATAAACAAAAACACTTGAAATATAAACATTATAGACAAAAAATTGTAATTGATTAAAAATATACTTCAGACATCACAACGTCTGCTGTTGTTGACATTTTTGATATCGAGATTTTCTAAGTCGCAGCTTACACATACAATTTTTGTTAGCAAATCTGATGAATTCTACGGATTTCTTAGGAGAAGGAGGTAAGAAGAATGAAAGGGAGAATAAATTCAAGAAAAAGGGTCGTAAAAAGTAGCAGGGGAGTTGCATGGACGAATGTATGTAACAATTTCATGTGTATAATTATTATGTTGATTTGTATTTATTATGCTGGTATTTATGCCCTATAAACATTAAAAATATAACATTTTCACATTATTCGTGAAACATTACGATAGTGGTTAGTAAAATTAGTAAAAATTCAATACAAATTCTAACAATTATCATTTTATAATTCATTGAAAAACTCATTAGGTAAATTCCCCATTCTTTTTTATCAAAAGTAAATAACTTGAAAATATTCTACCTGTTAAAATATTGATATTGATGTGTGTCGATGTTCAAATGCAATAAACCTAACAAAAGTAATTACAATATAATGTCATTTTTGTTGTTTTATGCATGTAGCTGTCACTTCGCTGAAACGTTATGCAGTTCTACAAATGTAAAGATAAACAAGAATACACACATACAATATATGTACGTATTATAGGTACATTACAAACTATTCCGATATAATTCCGATGATGGCGATACGGCTGCAATGCACGCCACAAACCGCGAATAGCCAAAACGCGGGTACTATGCGAAAATAACGTTTGAATATTTCCGAGGAAGTTTGTGTACAGCACTGTACTGTACATTGAATAGTAAAGTTTGCCCTGATATCGTGGATCGCTTTGCAAATGGTGGCTTCTTTGTTAAGTGGTTGGGCTTTATTGGCACAGTGGCAAAAATGAGAAGTTGGCGTCTCCTTCGCTCTTATCACTGCGCTACCTGCAATTTATATGTTTTGTTTTTTTAAAATACAAAACAAATGTCAATCATTTAATGCACATAAAACCCCCGCTATTGTCTTTATCTTATTGCATGTATGCCAGTGCACACAAACCCACAGCCATCAGCGAGCCCACCAGCGAACACATACACAACATATTTAATGGTGCATGTATGTACATGTGTTGTTACAAATGTAGTTGTGTCTAACAACGTGCTACGCCTGTAAAAATTGTTTGATAAAAACTCAATTAAATTTTTCCATTATCGGAATATAATTCATTGTAATTGTTGTGCATTTTGAGCACAATCATAAAACAAGAAGCAAATACGAAAACGGCTCGATTGATAGTAGGAAAATAGTCGTTGACAATGAAAATATTTATCTAGTCACCAACATATCCATTACAATGAGGAACTAATTGCTTATTTAAGTGGTCTTAGCGATTATTACAATTCAATGATTGAATTTTAATATTTATAAACTGGAAATAGTGTGCCATTTTTCCATTAAGTTCGGACACAATAAAAAAAAATCACCTACCAGAAATACTAGAAAATTTGGATCGGTATTCAAAAGAAATGTACATATGAATGGATATTTAAGGGAACACATTATTAGTTTTCGAGTTATCGTGCCCGTCATTCGCAAAAGAGAAAAACGGGTTTAAAGTTTGAGAAGCCCTTTAGCCTTCACTTGATGCTGACACAATAAATCGGCTATATCTTCAAGGGTTCTTGAGATTTTCACTTGAAATTTTGTAGGGACATTCTTGATTCGAATTAAATAAAAAAATGTTAACCACGAGAATTGGGGGGGGTCCCCTTTAGTTGTCTTGCAAACTAGGCATTAAAAGTTTATTTGGATGCATGATGTAAGCATATTAATTAAAAAGTCTACATCTACCATTGAATAATGCTGAATTTTAGGCGTTTTGTTACAGCGCCCTATCACAAATTTCTATTTTTGATTCGGGAAGATTTGGAATATATTATATGTATGTAGCATGCATAGCTTTGCAAGTAAATATTTTGTGAGATCATGTTTCTAAAATCCTATTTTTTGGGTCCAATATATTTTTATTTCCGGAATATATACATTGATTGGTACATAAGAATCAGTACTTCCATTTTTAAATATATATAAAGCAAAATAATTCCATTTCAAATTTATTTCCTATTTACAGTACCGCACAATTTAAAATTCAAATTATCATTAGCAAAAAAATAAATAAAATAAAATTTTTTATATCATATAGATATATTTAAATTTATTCTTAAGTCTTGAATACTAATGGAAAGAAGTATAACAAAATAATAATAAAACGGAATGTTTTCATATTTCATAAAGTAAACATTATATATTGAAGCTACTGATCGATATAATAAGTTGGGTTATTTGAAATGTTTTCTTATACTCAAAATTGAAACACCATTAACTTCTGTGCTCATCAGCCAAATAATGGTTCTAAAAAAAATTTGACGGAATATTAAAACTTAGCCATCATACCCAAATGTTGTTCTATCATTGGTTGTTCGACCCTTAACTAGTTCCCCATGCAGTTTTTCAGATACATATTTAAATCAATAGGGGATGTACGATATTATTTTGATGTACGATACGATATAATGTTTCGGTATAAAACTAAAAGTGGAAAATAATAACTGACGTGAGTAAAGAATAGTGTTAATTCATGTACGTAATTCTGAGAGCGAACAACGTTGTTCAAATTATATTAATTGTTCCAGAATTGCAAGAATCTACTAAATTGCACTATAGCTATCAAAGTAAAAATACAGTTCATTCTAGCAGGTTCTGCAGAGGCATAATATAAACTATTAAATCTGAAACTTATACGCTAATAAACTATGCTCGCACAATCATATAGTAGAATTCAATAACTGAACATAACAACAAATTGAGGGCGTGAATATCTTTTTATTATAATCCATTTGTCATGGTTAGAAGAATGAAAAAAGGAATTGCTTTTCCGGGCTGTAATCCGTTTATCATGTGACTACCGCATGCATTGATTTGAGCCTTTTGTGACCATTTATTTCCTAACGAGTTTTGTCGTCGGCCGAGAAATCCACTTCTGGTGTCATCTTCTATTCCTCGATGGACAAACAATACTCATTGACAACTGCGAAAAATAGGCGCAGCATGTTCAACTGGATTAGGATACCCAGGCTCAACATGCGCACACAGACGCTAGATTAAGAGTATTGTCACACAACGAGTAGCTACTCGAACTTAAAACAAATCCACCACTTCAGTTCCTGGAATTCTGGTCCTTAATCAGTTTGACACAATAACAACATTACAGAAATCCATCGATGACACATATTTAGTTTGTGTTTAGTAGGTACGAAAATTATACTAACACATCATCGGATCCTGTGCTCGTCTCTCTCGCCGTTCACAGTAATCATCAAATTATTATGAGTGTGTGTTTTCCAGATTATGGGCGCATGCGCGCAACATTTGACACTCGAAATCACCCAGGCTACCAGGGTATTTTTGTGGTGCACATACGTGACATATGGTACCTAAATATTATACATAAATACATA